ATGGATGCACCCTAACACTGGTTTTCCAACAAGAACACACATGACATATCATGTGAAATAGATGTAAGAAAATATTTGTGCCATTCCATGAATCCCCCAAATTTAGTGGGCTTTGTAAGGTCAACAATGAAGTGTAAATGCACATCTATCATACTTAAGATGAAAGCCTCCTGAGCTTGCCAATGTAGATTATTAAAAGTGAGATGGATGTATACCTACCAATCTCAATTTCTTTTTAGATGATATCCTTGACAGTTCACCAAACATTAATTTATTTTGTGAGGAGGCACAATCCGCAAGGCTGAGAGCTATGGCTTCCTAAATTTTAATCTTGGCTTTGACATTCCTATCAGACTTTCAGCAAAATCACTTAACCTCTCTACTTCAGGTCCCCTATGTGTAATACTTCCCCTTCCCTGCACAATCTTATAGGATTGAACAATATTTTGAAAATATAGAGTCTTAGAGTGAGAACATTATTGGATTTTCAACCATACCAACCCCCCCCCCCCCCCCAAAAAAAAAACTCCTCTTTCCCCATAAGTAAAATTTTAATAGGGTGATAGCTTAGCTAGTACATACGGATCTGCAAAAATATTAGAGGAGCTTATGAGTACATTTTATGGAAGGGTATGGTAACACAAAAAGAGTAAAAAGAAAACAAAGTATTAAGCAGATTAGATATTTACTGAGTAGTGGATAGGGCATAGCTTGGTAGAACAAAAATATTGTCTTAAAACAATAAATACAACAAAAATATTTAGTTGACTTATTTCCAGTAGATCTGGTAGGAGTGGGTCTTAATGAATTCTATGAATGAAGAAAGGGAAGTTTACCAGTGAACCAGTGCAGAAAGATCACCTGCTGTGGATGGATTCCAACTAAGGAATTACAGAGACAGCATTTACCATATTTCATTCTGTCTCATGCATGTAACCAACTTACACAAGCTGAAGCAAAAGGCCATTATCCTCTTTTTTCTCAAATTCCTTATGTATAATTTGAACTGAGGAACGTAAAAGAAACAAGTCATATTTTAACTCCAGCTATTCCCAGGCACAACACTGAAAGAGCAGGAAAGGGCAATGTACCTATACAATCAGGTGTGACCAGGTTATTTGTATTTTAACAGTGTTAAGCAAAACCCTGAGGAAGGGTGCGTGTGCCTGAAAGGTTGAAGAAAAAGATTTTTTTTTTGTGATTTCTTAGTTGGTGTAATAAAAGGTATTATTTCTGAACCAAGAGTTCTAGACAGCAATTCCCAATTTGTGGTATGGGTAGGACCAGTGGTACACAGACAATATGTCAGTGGTACACGTTAACAGATTTATTATAATTACTCTACATGACAAAAATTTGCTGGTGGTACTTAAGGTTGAACTGAAAAATTTGCTGGTGGTACTTAAGGTTGTGTCATTTTAAATTGGTGGTGCACAATCTGTAAGTTTGGGAACCGCTGTTCTAGAGCTTTGCATTTATCTTAGTCTCAGACTAACATGACTACCAGAATAGATCCCTGAAACATGCAAAGCTCTAGCATTTTCCTTATACTGTAAAAATTATCCTAGTTTAAAACTGTTCAACATATATTATCACACTAATGTTATTCACTTTCCACCTAAAGATATATTTCATTGAAGATGTTTTTCTAAAGTCAGTTTAAGAACAAAGTAATTTATTAAAGGCCTAGTTCCCTATGCAAAGTTTGTATAATGCTGAAATATAAATGGGTATCAGAAAAAGTATAAATCTCCACATTACATAAACTATTAAATTAAGGGCATATCAATTAATAAAATTAGAAAAAATTAAAGACTGCCACTTAATCTACCATACTACAAATATATTACTCTAATAACACCTTATCTCCCTACATGCAGGAAAGTTTATTTAAGACATTTTAAATAACACGTCTCAAGTATGCTGTTTTTGTAGATAGAAAAAAATGCAAGATGTGCCAGCTTGATAAAATTAGGAGCTGAGTTTTTATAAAATGTTCCATATATGCACTGTAGAGTATCTTCATTTGATTTCAAAGCAGTTTAGAAATATTATCTGTTCCTTATACAATAGTACTCTATGCACTAACCATCCTTTCTCTATTTTACCAAAAAAAATTTAAGTAGATATTCTCATCTATAATAAATGCCTAATAATTTTTATTAGTAGTGGTAATAGTAATCTGATCATATTCACTACCATAGTGAAAAAGTCCAATGCAAATAACACTGTAATTTTATCTAGTCACAGTCTTAAACCAAAAGCCAAAATATCACACTATAAATTAAACATTTTGTCTATGAATTGTAATAGCATTTTATTGATTTTTAATACAACTGATATTGATTTCATAAGTGATTAAATCACATAATCCTTAGTATTTCATAATTTAATTTTATATGATGAACAACTTAAGACTATCTAGAAAATAATAGGAGCTCCAAACTCTTCTGAATTATGTATTCATATAACCCACTTTAATGGCATCAGAAGAAATTAAACTACAAATAAAAATGTTGCAATGATTTTGTGAAGGATCAAACACATGTAGAAAAAACTTACTCAATAGTAAAATAATTATTTTTTATTTGCATAGATGCCTGATTTATCAGGTGTCCAGAGGGCATGAAAAAGTGCTATAGACTGTGGTGAGAGGAAACAGCATAAATAGGTACATGGGAGAGGGTGCTGTTCCTGCTAGCAAAATACAGGTGAAAGGAAAGACTGCCCAGCACTTAAAGTTTTATTTTCAGAAACTTTAGAAATTGACATAGCCTGATAAAATTGGGAAGCAATACATGTTTACCACTTGGGGGAGGCAGCTACCCAGCATTAATTTACTGTTGAAGTGGGGCAGCTTCAATTAAGACTGTCCCCATTAAATAGATAATTCTGTGAAGAAAGGCAGGACTGATTTGTTAATTTCATACTTGCTTTGAAGGGGTAGCATATATGGTATTCAAGTATCTGGGCAACATTAATTAAGGAAGTAGAGTTCAGCCAGCATTTGGTGGAGGTCTTTGGACCCAAGCAGCAGAAGTACCCAGCTAGCATTACATTTTTTGGAGATTTTGAGCATGGCTTGTGAGAAAGCAGTACATTTCAGCCTTTTTAATGTTTTGAAGCTGTTGCAGCATGAGTATTTTCTGTTATTATTTTGTTATTCTGTTATTTTGTTATTTTCTGTTGACAGAAAATAAGCCAAAACAATAATTAGCCTACACTATTTTTGCAAAATATGTGAGACAAGAAGTATAGTTGTCTGGGTTTCACAAATGTAACCTTATAATCAGGTAAATTTTTCAGTCCTGTGCACTAATGTAAATTAAATTCCAAATAGCCATGGAGTTCTTTGTCACAAATTATGTGCATCTTACAATCCACTCTCCATTTGTCTACTATTCCCATCCCCCACACAATCTTTCCAACAGTACACCTCGCTTTCTTGTGTTAACACTTCAAATCATCTAAAAAAAGAACATAAACTTATGAGATGTAAACTGTACCAATAAAGCAGTCCTATAACTATATTCTATGTCAGCGTTTCCTAATCTTTTTCGCTCCATGGCACACTTACCTAAATAAAAAAGCACCATGGCACACCAGACATTGAGCAAGGGGAGGTGCCGGGGGGGGGGGTGACGCATGGGCAGCCGGACACTGACCGGGGTGGTGGGTGGGCGGCCAGCCACAGCCACACACTGACTGGGGGGGCGTGGTGAGCTGGATGGCATTTTGGGCTGGACCCATGCCCCCTGCCTGGCTGGAGCTATGCTCCTCATCTGTCTGTGTCCACAGCAGCAGCGGGTGGGGGGCATGGCTCCAGCTCCAAATGCTGTGGCCACCTGGACGTGCCTGATGGCACAGCAGTGTGCTGTGGCACACTGGTTGGGAAACACTGTTCTTTGTTATGCCTCTCCCTGCTCCATACCCAATACAGTGCTCAATTTAAGTTGTAAGCTTATTGCAGAGATTGGAGCTTACGTTTTAAGATGTAGGTACGTCCCTACCCTATAGTGTATAGTTAGCTATAAAATTGCGCCTTCATGGCCTATTTTTTCAAGGACGCGATTTATTACAGTTGCCTAAATAGGAATTTAGGGACCTATGCTTGCTAATGTATGTCTTTATTTTATAAGCAGAAATATGTATGCATTTTTATGAAATTCATATACCACCCTCTCCAACAGAGGCTCAGGGTGGCTTACAGCAAGAGAAATAGAAACTTAAAAGAGCAACTAGAATAAATAAAACAAAATAACAAGGACTATGCATACTTCTGGTATCATACAGATGTTAAATTATAATAAAGTGAGCAACATCGGTATTGCATTTTCACATAAAAAGCACAGAAACTTTTAATCCTCAGTCACTTTTTTCAGAAAATCTTGCTGCGAAATTCCAAAGCATTGCTTCTTCAGAAATCTTTTCCTCGGTGATTGCCTCAGGTGAAATATTTTTCCCCTCAGAGTACACTAAGGCTAGGTACAGACATTCAAAAAGCCTGAGATGGAACTGATCTAAGTTGCACACTTTTCTGTAAGCAGTGTAGTTTATATTGGTAGTGAACAGAACACACATTCACCCTTTGGTATGGGGGGGAAGAAGGGAGAAAGGGGGTAAATCTTAGACTGGGTTCCGCCATTTTCAAACCAGTCTGTGTGCGCTGAACTTCTGTTCTATTACGGGTATAGATCAGTTTTTTGTGCTAAACTTCTGTTTTGTTATGGGTGTAAAACAGTTTTCAATCACTTATACTGGTAAAAGTGTAATGTCTGTACCTGGCCAAAGAAAACATACATTTACTGTTTACAGGCAAATTGCTTCAAGTCCAACAGCTTTAAAGTTACTCTTTCAAACATTCAGATATTATCAATCAGTGCAACTGCCCCTGCTTTGTCAAATTCATCCACAAGAAACACTGAACTTAATTTAATAAACACTTCACTGCTGGAAAAACATTCCAGGTTTCTGTAACACAAAGAGAAATCTTTACTTACTTGGAAGTCTTTTTCTTCAAGAATCTCTTTCCTCCATTTGACAAGGAAGGCGGCACACACATACAAGTGGAAGTGTGAAAAACCTTCTGGTTCAGACTGAAAAAAAATAATTTAAATATGCTGAAACATGATTTATGCAATGTATCCCTAAATATACTTGTAAGACATTCTAAAAGACCTAAAACCAATGTCCCAAATGAATTATGATTTCACGTCTGCCATAAGCATTTACAGACTGTTCTGCAGCTAGGACTTGGGTGTTTATTTATGTATATCCTTTTTTTCAGGATATTTCCTGACTTTTCTTAATTTATCCTTTGGTATCTATACACTAAAAAATACTATAAGATTGACCGCTTGCCTCAAGCCCAACTTGAGGACAACCATATGCTCCATCTTCAGTGTAAGTTTAATTTAACATTACATTTCATTTCTATGCCTATTTCACAATAATTTCTGTGACAGAAATTTATTAACTCGTTTAAAAAACAAAATGTGGAAGTTTTGCTGGGTATCGATCAGCTGATTATTTATCATATTAAATCCAATAAAAATTGCAAGACCACTGTAATTCTAGAACAAAACAGCAGTTTAAGGCCCCAGTTTTGTAATTATATCTGCCTAATGCAGTCTTTGCTTCATTTATTTCATCGCCAGTAATAAATATTTCACAACCATATAAAAATCTGGGCCAAACACATGAACTTAAAAGTATAATTTTTTAAAAGTTTGTCACTATTTGAAAAACCTATTTAAAATTATATTTAAGATTTTTCATTGTAGATTGCTTTTAAGTTGTTGAAAAACTAAAAATTTAAAAATCCAACTTTTTTGTTTTATGGATGAATTAGATTAAATTAGTGGAGTTACAGAGAATGAACACTGCAGTGAAGTCGCAAGTTAACATCTTGAAAAAAAAGATTACATTTCATAAAGTCAGCAAACTGCAGAATCTGATGCATAGAGGCAGTACAATTTAATTAAGACATTCAACTGAATATAAAATATTGCAATTGTACTTTTTTTTTTTTTTTTCCCAAGTACCCCAGTAGAAGGCTGGATTTTTTCTTAATCATCTTTACTGGTCACAGCAGAACGATTTCCTACTGCTGAGAAGAATTTTGTGCAAACTAGATGAACTTTAGCTTAGGGCATTTCTTACAAAAAAGATTTGAGTTAGAATTTTATTCTGTTAAATGGATCACACCATCTGTGAGTGGGCAAATTATATTGAAATAGTTATTTAATAAATAAATACATCCGAAAAATGGATATACTTCTGCTTTACTGAAATTTAACCTTCAGACTACAATAATCTAAAATATTTTTTATAATATTTATAATACAGAAGACACTGAAGGAAACACACTTTAAAAATATTTTACGTTCAAAATGAAAAATCTATGTATTATTAAATAAAGTTCCAATAAAGTTTTAGTTTTTTGAAAACATAGTTTTATTAAAAACTACATAGAAAAAATGCTACATTTGACAAATCAAGTACTCAAAAGTTATGAAATTCCTGTGCATAAATTTAATTCAGCCATCAAATCCATATGCATCATGTTACAGTCTTTCAGTACAGGAACATGCAGGCAACCCTCGCCATTTGTGGGGGATATGCTTTCGAGATCCCCATAAATAGCAAAATCCGCGAACACAGTGCCCCTGGCAGTTGGGAGAGGGGGCGCGGCTGCCCTGGAGATGGCGGGAGCACAGCAGCAGCAGAGGGAGTGCAGCAGAGCCAAGCCTGAGCTCCCGAGGACCTACTGTAGGTGTATTTAAGATGTGGTTCTGGCATTCGGAATATTTGAAACTGAATGCTGAACCTGTGAATAGCGAGGGTTTCCTATATACTATTTTTTCCTTTGAAACATTCAGTGAACAGGATAGGCAGTGCTCATTTAACAAGGAACTATTCAGTATTTGCTTTAGCTTTGTTCAATTTGTGATACAAGTCTTATTTACTGAAGTATTCAAAGTCTAGGCTGAACACAAAACTATTAAATACGGGCTATAATATAGCCTTTATCACTACAATATCCACATGCTTATAGGATCATAGACAATTAGGGATGGAAGGGACTTCAGGAGGTCATCTAGTCTAACCCCCGCTCAAAGCATGACTATCCCCAAATACATCATTCCAGCCTGGGCTTTGTAAAGACAGGCCTTAAAACCTCTAAAGATGGAGATTCCACCACTTCTCTAGATAACTTGTTATAGTACTTCACCACCCTCCTAGTGAGAAAGATTTTCCTAATATCTAACCTAAACTTCCCTTGCTGCAACAAAGACCATTCCTCCTTGTTCTGTCATCTGCCGCCACTGAGAACAGTCTAGCTCCATCCTCTTTGGAACCAACACTCACAGAACCCTGATGTGAAGACGGCACATACTATCTCCATCTTAAAGAAGGACCCCTTGAGGTGTTTCAGCAAAACACTACACTCCTTCAAATTCCTCCTGAAGTTCATTTAATAACAAAAGAAATTAGCAATTAATAAAGGTTGGGTGGAGCAGCATTTGGGAATCAGTATTTGAGGCACATGCAACACATTTTGAATATTATCACAATGTACACCAAAAATATCAATGCCTATTCTGTGCGTCTTGGCCATATGTACCTAAAACACTACATGTACTAAGATTTGGTTAAACTTCTATTTATGTTTTATGGTGGAACTATAAAGATACATTTTTTTTAAATAAAGGTTTTAACAGCAATTTAAGTCTTCCTGGAGAAAGGAATCAAAGCTAGAAGTTGAAATTTTACAATGATAAAGAGCCAGATTTGGATCATCTCATTTGCACTGAACGTCCCTTTTTCCACAACTAGTTGCATCAATATACTTTTGGTATACGATGTTATCAGATGCAAGTAAGTGGATCAGAACCTGACCCAATATGCTGTAAACTTCTGTGATAAGGGGTAATTGTGGACTAACTTCTTTTAAAATGTCAATAACAGAATTTATATAATCTGTTCAGCCTCCACAAGAAAAGGCTGAGAGGGGATCTGGTGGCCGTCTATAAACTGGCCAAGGGAGACCAGCAGGCAATGGGAAAGTCCCTGTTCCCCTAATCACTACTGGGAGTAACAAGGAGTAAGTTGACTGAGAGTAGATTCAGGCTAGACATCAGGAGGCACTACTTCACAGTCAGGGCTGCTAGGATCTGGAAGCAACTTCCAAGGGAAGTGGTGCTCGCTCCTACCCTGGGGGTCTTCAAAAGGAGGCTAGATAGACACCTTGCCAGGGTTGTTTGACCCCAGCATTCTTTCCTGCCCAGGGCAGGGGGTCGGACTTGATGATCTGCTCAGGTCCCTTCTGACCCTACCAACTATGAAACTATGAAATTAGCTTCATTGTTTCAAAAAAGCAATATGCTTTGCACATGTCATTTTAAACAGTAAAACATGTAACCTATGGTGAAAGTGAATGTTTCCTTTTCTATCTTCCTTTTCTTATCTATTTAAAGTGAGAGAAAAAAGACTCTTGGAAGTGCTATGTTTAGTTTGTAATTCTGATATGTTTCAAGTCCATATTATTGGAATAAAACTTGCAAACTGAACTTTATGTTGATTCAACACAAATGAGATTTTAGCATAAATTAATATATTTTAAAGAATTAAACAATTTCAATCGTTTTGCACTAATACATCTATAACCTGAAATTAGCTACTTCACGTTCATGTTGTTTTATTGTTTCTTGTTTTAGCTTTAAATACAAATAACAGTATGTAGCAAATTCTAGGAGCTGCTGTTTGATTATTTTGAGTATTGTGCTTTGCATAACAACATAAACCATTTCTAGCCAAGTACAAAGACAAGTTGGGAAACACAGGCCATTGGAAAAAATGTTCTGTTAACTTCATTTGATTCAAGATTTCAAGAAAATCTCTGCTCCAAAGGACTTGCAACTCAAGGCACACTTCATAAAACCATTTATTTAAACAAGGTTGCCATTACAACCAATAGGACTTGTTGTACAAGATGAAAACACTAGCAAAAAGGTTTGCAGGATCAGGCCTTAACTAGACATATACACAACGAGGATAGAAAGAATGCATCAAAGTAAAGTAATGAGGGGCTTACTACGATAGCTACATGATTTTGTACATTTCCTACTTTGATTTTTTTTTGTTTTGGAAGGGATTGAGCAAAGCACAGGACAGACAACAAATTAAAAAAAAATAAACCACCTGTGTTGTACAAGTCATTGTGGTTTGATAGTCCAAATAGCATATTAAGAATTTAGGGTGCATACAGATGTTCAGGGATATTAGATTGTGTTAAATTGGCCATTTGATCCAATTTAGTTCATTCAGGTGCAAACCATATACTTGATTCCTAGTTAGGTGGATCTAAGTATGAACTGGACAGGAGTTCAGGAAGGTTAGATCAGATGAAAAATGGCTGTCCTGATCTAAGTTAATGATACTGCTGAGGAAGTCTAACTTAGATCGGGGCTGGTGAGAAAGATCTAACAACTTTTGTAAAGTTCACAGGGCTAGAAAAGCCCAGTTGCTGTCCCTAGCCTTGGGGTTGTGCTTTTCCTACTCACTACCCTGGCACCAGGCTATTTTTTTTATCCCTCCCAACTCCTTCCTCCCACCCCAGATAGACAACACCCTCACAGAGTAGCCAGCCCCTCCCCGCTAATCCAGTAAACCAAGGAAGTAAATTGAGGTGTTGAGTAGAGCTCCAGGAAGGACAAGGCAGTTGGTTGGCCAGAAGTGGGGGGTGTTAATCTGAGGGTGAGGATGTTGGGGGGCTAAAAATAGAGAGACCCTCATCCTACCCGATGGACCCCAGTAAGCCCCCTGATCCTACCAAACCCTCCTGGACCCTGATTGCCCCTCCCCCCAATACCGCTCATGGAACCCACCTGATACCCCTGGAGATCCTGCCTGCCACCCTAATGACCCCAGAGCCTGCTTGCTCCCCCCTGATGCCCCATCCTGCTAGCCCCTCTATTCTGACTTACCTTAGATCAGCTGGTCGGTCTGTGTGTACCCTTAGAGAAGCTCTAGTCAAAGCAGTCAGGACAGATAACTCACTTGTCTAGCTGATATTTGTCTACTGAAAGAGTGG